ATATTTGATGTCGGTATAACATGTGGAGGAGATGGGGACAAACAAGTCGTTTAAGGATTCAGGTGGACCTGTTGCAACAATGAGAAGTACGAAATGTCATGTCAAAACCAGCTTTACAATGTCGGTGTGGGGGGGGGGGGGAGGGGGGGTATGATTGGGTGGGGGGGAGGGGGGAGGCTGGGAAGGGAGGTGAAGGGTAAACAAAGGAGGAGGCTGCAATGCTTGGTAAGAAATGTATGCATTATCCTGCCCATGTAATTGTAACCTCTCTGTACAGTATGTTCTCAAATAAAATAAAATAAAATTAAAACAAACAAACAAACAAACAAACAAAACCTTAGTATCAGCCAAGAGCTGGTGGCTCATGCCTGTCCTAGCTACTCAGGAGGCTGAGATCTGAGGATCACAGTTCAAATCCAGTCTGGGCAGGAAAGTCCATGAGACTCTTATCTCCAATAAACCACCAGAAAACTGGAAGTGGAACTGTGGCTCAAGAGGTAGAGTGCTTGTCTTGAGCTGAAGAGTTAAGGGATAGCGCCCAGGCCCAGACCAACCAAAACAAAACAAAACAAAAAACCTTAGTATCCTAACACTACCATCAACTAAAGAATCCAACTGTGAAACCCTGAAGCTTAGGGAGAGGTTTTAAAAAGAGGCAACATTTATATGAACCTGAAGAACAGAGAAGGAAGTGAGGAAAGAGAGCAGAAGCAGAATAAAACACCAGCAAAGGCGTGGAGAAAACATGCAGCTCATTCAGGGACCAGCAGATGGTCCTGTGCTCTTGTAGCAGAAGGTAGGTAGGAGGAGGGGGTAGGAGCAGAGGAGCAAAGGTCTGGGAGTCCTAGCTCTTCTCATGTTCAAGGGGGGGACTTCTCAGATAACTTCCTTAAGAATAGATCCTAGGTAGAACTTTGCTTGTGTGTGTGTGTGTGTGTGTGTGTGTGTGTGTGTAAAATGGGACTTGAACTCAGAACTGGGGAGTTATCTTTTAGCCATCTTTGTTCAAGACTGGTAGTGCTCTACCACTTCAGCCATAGCTCCACTTTTTTTTTTTTTTTTGGTTGGTCATGGGGCCTGAACTCAGGGCCTAGGCGATGTCCCTTAGCTCTTCAGCTCAAGGCTAGCTCTCTACCAGCTTTTTCTGCTTATGTGGTGCTAAGGAATCGAACTCAGGGCCTCATGCATGCTGAGCTACCTTCCCAGCCCCATAGAGCTCCACTTTTGACTTCCCCACATGCCCCAGTCCTGGGACTTGAACTCAGGGCCTGGGCATTGTCCCTGAGCTTCTTTGTTCAAGGCTAACACTCCACCACTTGAGCCATAGCACCACTTCCACCTTTTTCTGTTTATGTGGTGCTGAGGAATGGAATCCAGGGCTTCATGTATGCTAGGCAAGCACTCTACCACTAAGCCACATTCTTAGCTTCTCCCCCCCTTTAAAATAATTATCTTTTTTTATTAGTTCATGTTAATTATATGCAGATTTTATTGTCATTTTTCATACATACATGTAATTTTTTAACTTAAAAAATGGCTTCTATAAAGGTGATGTACAGAGGGGTTACAGTTATATAACTTGGTTAAAGAGTATATTTCTTTTTTTTTTTTTTTTGGGTCCGGTCGTGGGGCCTGATCTCTGGGCCTGGGCGCTGTCCCTCAGCTCTTCAGCTCAAGGCTAGCGCTCTACCACTTGAGCCACAGCGCCACTTCTGGCTTTTTTCTTTTTGCTTATGTGGTGCTGAGGAATCGAACTCAGGGCCTTGAGCATGCAAGGCAAGCGCTCTACCACTGAGCCACCTTCCCAGACCCAAGAGTATTTCTTCGTGGACAATGTCACCCTTTACTTTTGACCTTTTGCTGGTTACTTTCACAGACTTTCCTTCTGAGGCTGGCTTTGAACCACAGTACTCAGATCTCAGCCTCCTGAGAAGCTAGGATTACAGTTGGGAGCTACCAGAGCCTGGCTAACCTTCTATTTTGTCCTTCTCCTTGCTCTTAATCTTAGTGCCCACCCCCTACTTTGTTGTTCTGCACATTAAAACACACACGCACACACAAACACACAAAGTATTTACAAAAATTCCAATAGACTCTATTGGTCTAGAACTTATTAACTTGGTACTTACTCTAAAATACACAGAAGGTGAAATGGCACCTTTGTACAAATGATTGGGTCCTTAGGGTAAAAGTTAGAACTTAACTGTGGGAGGTAAGAATGGGTGGGAGCTGACAACTCAGGGAGAAAATGACGTTCAGCACATAGTTGGTACATAATCAATGTCTCGAGGAAATAAATTTAAGAAATAACTTGATGGCCTCATGCACTGCAGGGGACACTCAAATATGGCCACTTCCCTGTGTAAGAGAGTTTCTTATTTGAGAAAGAGGATGAAAGGGGAGAAGGGATGTGTGTATTCTAGAATCCATTCATTTGTCCTGGGGCCAGACTTCTTCTGGAGTTAATATTTCCTTGTCTGGCAGGCACTTTTTCTCTTTTAGAGGAGAAAGCTGTGTATGTGTGTGTATGTGTGTGTGTGTGTGTGTGTGTGTGTGTGTGTGTGTATGTGTGTGTGTGTGTGTGTGTGTGTGTGAGAGAGAGAGAGAGAGAGAGAGAGAGAGAGAGAAAACACAGTGTCCCAATGTTCTCTTTCAGTTATGGCCAGACTGTAGGTTACAAAATCATTTCTTTCCTTCTTTATTTTCTTTTTCTTTTTGCCGGTCCTACGGCTTCAACTCAGGGCCTTGGCACTGTCCCTGAGCTTTTGTTCAAGACTAGCACTCTACCATTTGAGCCACAGCACCACCATCTCTGGATTTTTTTGTGTATGTTGTATTGAGAAATTGAAGCCAGGGCTTAATGCATGCCAGGCAAACAATCTACCACTAAGCCACATTCCCAGCCCATAAAATAATTTCTTTTTTTAATTTATTTTTTTTGGGGGTCCGGTCATGGGGCCTGAACTCTGGGCCTGGGTGCTGTCCCTCAGTTCTTCAGCTCAAGGCTAGCGCTCTACCACTTGAGCCACAGCACCACTTCTGGCTTTTTTCTTTTTGCTTATGTGGTGCTGAGGAATTGAACCCAGGGCCTCAGGAATGCAAGGCAAGCACTCTACCACTGAGCCACCTTCCCAGCCCCACAAAATAATTTCTTTACTAGAAAGTAAATTGAGAGAAAATAGGTAATAAATAAAAATAAAAACCTTGAAAGAGAACTCAGTTCTACTTGGTAAACATATATGTCTAGCACTAAAAACACGGAGAGGCATTTGAATCAAGGGCCTGAGTGCTGTCCCTTACCTTTTTCACTTAAGGCTAATGCTTTATCAGTTGAGCCACAGCTCCATTTGCAGCTCTTTTGGTTGTTAATTGGAGATAATAGTGTCACAGACTTTCCTAGCTAGGAATACAGATGTGAGCCACTAGTACCTGGCTTGGGATGTGAGAGTCTTAACTCAGGTAGTGGCAAGGAGAATGGGAAGGAAGAGCCATATTTATGAAATCTGAGGACTTACTAAGCCCATGAAAGACCTGAGTATGGATTGGAGGTGAGAGGCAGGTAGAAGTCTTAGTCTTGACCAGATGGCATACCACACAGCATTCTGACTGGGATTAGTGGGTGGGTGATCATGGTGCCACTGACAGGAAAGAAAACAGGAGGAGGAGCAAGTTTGAGGAGGGAAATTAAGAGTCCAGTTTTCAACAGGTTCTCAGGTGAATAAAAAAAAACAAAGAGAAGGAAACAAGGAAAGGGTGGGGAAGAGTGAGTCAACCAGGGTGGAGAAGGAGAGTGGCAATGGGGAAATAGGCCTTGCTCAGATCTGGGACTATAGAGATACACATGGAGTGCACCCATTTTTGTTCCAGTTCAGAGAACTTGGTTTCAGCAACTGGTTGGACCCTGAAGAAAAGAGAACACTTTTGATTCCTGTCTGGTAATCAATTCACTGTTGCCACTTTTTTTTTTTGTGGGTTATGAGGCCTGAACTCTGGGCCTGGGCGCTGTCCCTCAGCTCTTCAGCTCAAGGCTAGCACTCTACCACTTGAGCTACAGCGCCACTTCCGTATTTTTCTGACTATGTGGTGCTGAGGAATCAAACCAAGGGCCTCAGGCATGCAAGGCAAGCGCTCTACCACCGAGCCACCTTCCCAGCCCACTGTTGCCACTTTTGCGCAGTGAGTTTTGATTTTTAAAACCTGGGGGTCAAGGTACTCCAGAGCCAGAATGACCCAAACAGATTTTTTTCAGTGTTAAATAACCATTTCCAAGATGACAATAATAGCAGTGTGTGTGTGTGTGTGTGTGTGTGTGTGTGTGTGTGTGGCCTTCCTTCATGTTTGGGGTGACTCTTTCTGCCACAAATCTTCATCATTTGGGAACTTTTCCAGCTCTTTTACTTGCACCTTAAACATCAGAACTAGCATCATATAGATTATGTAGAAACCGAACTAAGTTAACTTGACAGTAGGGATGGGAAGGGGAGATGCACTGTATTCATAGACTAACATGTGGAATTAAAACCCCTTCGTACAACGATAAATTAATAAATAATAAAAGAAAAAGCAAAAACGCAAGAAAAATCGAGAGCTAGCTCGATGGTCAGTGTGAGTCATTCTCATAATCGTTTTTTCATATTCGGCCATCATTTCTCCTTGCACGTCCTTCCAGAACTCCTCAAACTTTGTCTCATCAGTCATCTCTAGCCAATGAAAAGCCAAAGGTCGACCTACGGTTTGATGAGTTGAGGCAGAAGGAGGGTATTCCAGAACCTTTCAAACATGGCGTGCCGCGGTCGGCCTCTCCGCCGCCTGCCGCTTCCCGGAGCTCCCCCTGCACGTCCCGGCCGGCCGGTCAGCGCCCACTAACCTGACAGCCGACCTGTTTCCCGCCCCCGCCCCAGGGCCCGCCCAGCTGCCTGACACCAGCCAATTGCAGGCCGCGCTGCGGGGTCTGGCAGCGCCGCCGGCCCCGCCCCCAGCCTCGCTGTGGCCTCGGGCCGGTAGCGCCGCTCTCGGTCGCGCAGACTGGAGCGTGGGACGGTGGGTCGCGGGCTCTCGCCGCCGGCCATCGTTCAGCCCCGCGCCGCCGCCGCCGCCGCCGCCGTCCGCCCCTCAGCCTCAGCCATGGACTTCGAGGACGGTAAGCGCCGCCTCTGGCCGGTCTCCGCGGAGGACGGGAGGCGGGGTGGCCCGCGCCGGGGGTCTGTTTACCGTCACAAGATGGCCGTGTGGGCTTTTGTTCTGTCGGGCCCGGAGGCCGTCCGCCTTCCCGCCCGGCGCCGGCCCGGCGCGGCGACGCGGCCTCCGAGCCGACGGGCGCGCCGCCATCCGGGCTACCCGAGGTCCGCTGCTGGCGGGGTCCTGGGGGGGGGGGGTCGCGGCCGGCCTCGCCGCCGGACCGAACTCGCCGAGGCCGCGAGGGCCTCGGACCCGCCCGGCCCTCTGTGGTGTCCCGCGCCTGCCTTCGGTCGTCCGCCTGGGCCTGGGCCTGGGCCCGGCCCCGGGTTCCGGCCGAGGAGAGGGGAAGGGGAGCGGGGGGGCGGGACAGGGGGCGCAGGGGAGGGGAGGGTGCGGAAGGGGAGGGGGCTCCCACGCCCGTCCCACCTCGGGCTGGGCGGCCCGCGGACCACGCGAGGACTTAACCCTCCATCCCGCGTGACTGCTTGCTAAGTAGAAATTCCAGAGGCTTCCGCCGATGCCCAGGGCCTCCTTCGTTGAATATGAGTTTCGGGGACACCCACGATAATATGGTCACTGTTGATAGGACCGGAGAATACTATAGATCGTGGTCGGCAAACTGGGGTATCTTTATGCATCGAGATTTACCTTTTAAATGATCTATTTTCAAGTACCTAGTTTGAGGCAGCCTACGTGAGCCGAAGCACTTTTTTGGCTTGTGTGTGGATGGAACTTGTTAGAATTCTAGCCCTGCAAAGCATCAGATAGATGCCTTTTCCTTTCAGACCCTGTGGTTACTTAGTAAACCAGCGGGCATTTTTTTTTTTTTTTTTTTTTTTTGCCAGTCCTGGGGCTTGAACTCAGGGCCTGGGCACTGTCCCTGAGCTTCTTTTGCTCAGAGCTAGCACTCTCCGGCGACACTTCTGGATTTTTCTGTTTATGTGGTACTGAAGAATCGAACCCAGCACTTCATGCTTGCTAGGCATGCACTCTACCCACTGAGCCACAATCCCAGGCCCTCCCCCCCCCCCCCCCCCTTTTTTTAACTAAACAATTCCTTTTGCACAGGTCACTAGGAGTTAATTTGCAGAACCCAGAATCTTGTCCAGCTTTTGGTATGTGTCAAGATAAAGTGATCACAATCTAGTTAAAACACTAAGTAGATAGGAGAAAGAGAGAGCTTGTGTGATTAAACTGGATTTATTCTTGAGTAACCAGGCGTTTCTAAATAAAACCAGTTTACTAAGAACTTGTAAACCTCTAACCCTGCTTAAAAAAATAAAAACACAACAAACTAACACGAAAAAACAAAACCGGGCTGGGAACGTGGCTTAGTGGTGGTAGAGTGTTTGCCTAGCATGCATGAAGCCCTGGGTTTGATTCCTCGGTACTACATAAACAGAAAAAGCCAGAAGTGGTACTGTGACTCATGGACAGTGCCAGGCCCTGAGTTCTTTAGTATTGAGTGAGCAATCTTGGTTTCTAAGCCATACTGAAAGTCTTTTTTTTTTTTAAGATTTAATTTCATGTTTCAAGGAACTAAATCTGCCAAATTAAGTATAGAAAAAGGAACGAATAACCTTTTGTATATGCTTTCCAGTTGCTTTGAAATGAGAACTTCAGATTTCTTTTTTGGGGCAAGGGAGTTAAGATTTCCTGGCTGGAGGGTGGAGTTTTTAGTATTGAACTCTGGATTTCCTGCTTGCTAGGCAGGCATTCTATAAGCCCCACCCCAGTCCTGGAAGTTCAGCTCTTGTAACATATAATGGTGTTTTTGGTTTAGTTGGACTTTGTTTCATTTTGATACTTTAAAACTATGAATGGATGAGCTGGCCAGAGTAGAGAAGGAAAATAAAAAAATGTGCTGGGTTTGAATTGGGTACCAACAAAACAAGGTACAGCAGAAGCTACCATTACCATGAGAGGGGAGGCCCTGGCAGGGTGGAAATGGGAACAAGACAATATACTTTTTAAATGTTTTGTAGCGAATTGAAAATAATGGTGAAATTAGATTTTCTTTTATTATCACCTCCAATTAGAAACATTGTTACTGATAAAACATTCTCTTTTCCATGCTCAGTTTACACTGCTGCCTTTGAGAAATGGAATTTGACTAACAGTGTATCCTAGGCTAATTCTGTTTAATGTTGCAGTGTTTTCTTGTATCCAAATGGTTACAATTATAGTGTGATTTTCCAGTGTTTGTAAAAAAATTGTTATTATAAAGGTGATATATTTGTGGAATAAAATAAAGGCTTTAGCATTGTTAAATTAGTCTTAACAGCAAATTGGTTGTATGGCTTTCAGTGATGCCAAATCCTGGATGGACCATGGCATATACTCATTGTACATAGGTGCATATGTAGTTTTCAGATAAGATCTTGAAATCTTTGTGGAGTAGATTGTTAGAGTACTACATAGAATCACTTTTCAGGTATATCTGGCATTTATATTATTGGAATAAAATTTATGTGCCTTCCTCTTTGTTATTCAGTAGAAATTAGTGCTAGGTCCTCTTTTTTGGATGTTATGTGAGGTGTTATAAACTAAATTATTAATTAATTTATCTTTGGTGCCAGTCCTGGGGCTTGAACTCAAGGGCCTGGGTGCTGTCCCAGAGCTTCTTGCTCAATGCTTGAGTTACAGAACCACTTCTGGCTTTTTCTGAGTAGTTTATTGGAGATAACAGTTAAATGAGATCCTCAGATCTCATCCTCAACTCCTGGCTAATTATTTTTATGTATGTGTGTATCTATGGGTCCTGGAGCTTGAACACAGGGCCTGTGTGCTGTGCCTAAGCCTCTTTTGCTCAAAGCTAGTGCTCTACCACTTGAGCCATAGCACCACTTCTGGCTTTTTCTGAGTAGTTTATTGAACATAAATGTTAAACGGGGACTTTTATGCCCAGGCTAACTTTGAATCTTGATCCTCAAATCTCAGCCTCAGCTCCAGGCTGTTTTTGTTTATGTGTGTATGTACTAATCCTGGGGTTTGAACTCAGGGCCTGGGCACTGTTCTTGAGCTTTTTTGCTAAAGGCTAGAGCTCTATCACTTGAGCCAAAGTACCATTTCTGACTTTTTTTTTTTAAAATATTGGAGATAGGAGTCACAGACTTTTCTGCCTAGGCTGGCTTTGAACTGTGATCACAGCCTTCTGAGTAGCTGGTATTATAGGCATGAGCCACCAGTCTCAGGCTTACAAACTTATTTTTATATTGCTGTAATTTGGATAATGAACTTTCCATTTGGGAGTTAGTGAAGGAGGTATGTATGTTTTCCCAGTTGGATGCCAATGGGTATTAGTAGCCACTATTATTTGTACCTCAATTTTGCAGATAATGGAGTATGACATTTTTAAATTGTGTTTTTTTAAAATAGGTATATAATTTTGGTTGTTTGCTAATTTTGCTAATATTGTACTAATTGTCTGTTAAATGTGTCTTCATAGATTACACACACTCTGCTTGCAGGAATACTTATCAGGGCTTTAATGGTGAGTATTTTTTTATTTTTATTTTTATTTGCCCATATTTTGGGGAAGAATGTATTCTAATTTTTCTCTTCATATACATACACCTGAAATATCAGTGTAAAAAGCCAGCCCCATCTTATTTCAAACATTGGTTTGGCTCTTGATTTATCACTTCTCAATGTTAATATTGTTATATTCTACGCCGTGTTTTGTTGTTTGTAGTGCTGGGACTTACTGGGGACTTCAGGGATGTTACATAAGCGTTCAGTCTTTGAGCTATATCCCTAGCCACCCCTGAGCTACATCCCTAGCCTCTATATCTGATATTTTAATTGGGCATTTGGATTAGGAAAAGTTAGGATTATTCAGATTGCTTTGATATTTTGACATATTTTTGCTAATGATTCTTTTAATTTATTCCAAAGGACCTGACATCATTGAGCGATTAATTAGAAAACAGTGGCTGAATTCTTTTTCTTTTTCTTTTTTTTTTTTTTTAATCAGAGACTTTGGTATTTAGTATCTTGGATTAAGTTGACCATTGCCTTGGTACTAAACAAACTCTGTTACAATGCTTGTGAGTGTGTGTGTGTATTCACTTGTGCTCACATACATGCACAGGTCTTAAACTCAAGGTCTGTATGCTTCCTCCCCTCCTTCCCCCGCCTCCCCTCCCTTCTTTTTTGTTAGTTCTGGGGCTTGAATACAGGATGTGGGTGCTGGTCCTGAGTTATTTTGCTAAAGGCTAGCACTCTACCACTTTGAGCCACAGAGCCACTTCTGGTTTTCTGGTAGTTAATTGGGGATACGAGTCTCACTTCTTGTCCAGGCTGATTTTGAACCATGATCCTCAGATCTCAGTCTCCTGAGTAGTTAGGATTACATGTGGGCTGTAAAACAGGTGGCTTAGTTAGGATTACATGTGGGCAACACAGGTGGCTAGGCTATTAGAATGCATTTTGACCTTGTTTTAGAGGTTGTTTTTCTTAGTATGTTCAAGTGTGTTGATATACAAAGAGCTTCTTAGAGGAGCACATAAAGAAGCATGATATATATTAGGCTTGTGACTGCTGAGCTAGATAAAATGATGAGAGATGTGCAGAATACAATTGCATGTTATTTAAATAGTTATTAGAGTTAAATCCTTGCCAGACAAGATAATAATACAAAAAAAGAGCACTGAACAATTTCAGAAGGTTAAGAAAGCATTAAAAGAAAGATTTGAAGGAGTGGCATTAATTATCCTGATTGCCAGAGAGATGTGAAACCCAGCTGTTGTACAGAGTATAATCAAAATAAAACTGAAGCAAATGTACTGCTAAAAGAAGATGGTCATCTTTTTGGAAATAATTACAATAGCATTGAATTTTACTTACCTCTAAGAATTGAGAGAGATGCTTGATTTTATAGAGCTTGTTAGGGCTCACCATGTAGGAACTCTGGTCAGTGTACAATGAGCACTGGGGAGTATATTTTGAAGACAGTGTTTATATAGATGAGATTGAAAGCTGGAGAATTAGCTAGAAAGCCATTTCTTGAACTTAGTTATATGGATATTATTATGATTTGTGGACTTGGCTAACCAATAGCACTTTTTTTTTTTTTAAAGCTTATGCTACTTTATTTATTTATTTATTTATTTCCGGTCGTGGGGCCTGAACTCTGGGCCTGGGCGCTATCCCTCAGCTCTTCAGCTCAAGGCTAGCACTGTACTACTTGAGCCACAGGGCCACTTCCAGCTTTTTTCTTTTTGCTTATGTGGTGCTGAGGAATCGAACCCAGGGCCTCAGGCATGCAAGGCAAGCGCTGTACCACTGAGCCACCTTCTCAGCCCCCAATAGCACTTTTTTTAAAAAATGTTTTTTATGGTGAAAATACTGTACAGAGGGGTTACAATAACATGAGCAAGGTAATGAGTACATTTCTTATCAAGCATTGTTGCCTCCTCCTTTGTTTTTCCTCTACCATCCCTGCCCTCCCATCTCCACGACTATACTCCCCCCTCTCCCAAAGTTGCAAAGTTAATTTTTCGACAAAGCATCTTGTACATCTCATTGTTGCAATGGGTCCACCTGTATCCTATTTAAACAATTTGTTTTTTCCCTTCCCCTCCACAAATTATACCAACATCAAATACAGTGAAAACAGGGGTTATACCTTGGGGGAGGGACATACAAAGCAACAAAAAAAAAATCACCTTATAAATATGTTAGAAAAACCACGTGTGTCCTTATCTTGGGATTCATTTTGCCTAACATCATCTTATCTGACCTGTTTTGCTTATCTCAGACATATACTAGTTATTGCAAATAAGGGAAACCATGGGACCTATGTTTCTTTGGGCCTGGCTTACTTCACTATTTAAAAATACTAAAAAATACTCAGATTCACTGAGTGCTGGTGGCTCATATCTGTAATCCTAGCTACTCAGGAGACTGAGAATCATTATTTGAAGTCATGAAAAGTAGGCAGAAAAGTCCAAATACTCCTCCAAAATATCCAGCAAAATGCCAGGTTAAAGGTGTGGCCCAAGTAGCAGAGCATGAACTAAGCAACCAGAGTAAGCAAGCCAAGTGAGTGTGAGTTCCTGTATTCAAGCCCTGGTACCAGTATTAAAAAAAAAAATCATATGCTTTCCACAGAACTTAACAGGCTAGTAAACAGTGGGGATAGAATATTCAGAAGGTTGACTGAAAAAAACAAATCCAGCATTTTAAAGTAGACTTTCTAGTATTGGTGCTTTTTTTTTTTTTTTTTTTTGGGTCCAGTCGTGTGGCCTGAACTCTGGGCCTGGGCTCTGTCCCTCAGCTCTTCAGCTCAAGGCTAGTGCTCTACCACTTGAGCCACAGTGCCACTTCCGGCTTTTTTCTTTTTGCTTATATGGTGCTGAGGAATCAAACCCAGGGCCTCATGGATACATGGCAAGCGCTCTACCACTGAGCCACCTTCCCAGCCCAGGATTGGTGTTTTTATCAGAGAGAGAATGTGTATGTTGATATGATAGAAGGCTTTAAGATTGGACTTGAAATGTAAAGTACTGTGGCTAGAAGTTTATTTCTTTATTAATGTATGGTATTACAAAAAGATCTGAGGTTAATGATTTATTCTTTTAATTTAGTTCTAGTAATGGCCTTTATGTAAGAGTCACTGTATGAATCCTCTAGGGAGCATCATCAAAGTTTTCATATACAGTTTTTGTCTTCTAGATCTCTTAATTCTTTTTGTTTTTGTCAGTCAGTTGTGAGGCTTGAACTCAGAAGGCTGGGTGGGCACTGTCCCTGAGCTCTTTTGCTCAAAGCCAACACTCTACCACTTTGAGGCACAGTACCACTTCTGGTTTTTTTTTTTTTTGGTCCAGTTGTGGGGCCTGAACTCTGGGCCTGGGTGCTGTCCCTCAGCTCTTCAGCTCAAGGCTAGCGCTCTACCACTTGAGCCACAGTGCCATTTCCGGCTGTTTTCTTTTTGCTTATGTGGTGCTGAGGAATCAAACCCAGGGCCTCATGCATGCAAGGCAAGCGCTCTACCACTGAGCCACCTTCCCAGCCCCCCACTTCTGGTTTTTGATGGCTAATTGAAGATAAGAGTCTCATGGAGCCTGCCACCAGTGGCTCAAACCTGTAATCCTAACTACTCAGGAGGCTGAGAACTCAGGATCATGGTTCAAAACCAGTCCAGGCAGGAAAGTCCGTGAGACTCTAATCTCCAATTAACCACCAGAAAACCGGAAGTGGCCCTGTGGCTCTAGTGGTAGAATGCTCACCTTGAGCTGAAGAGCTCAGGGACAGCACTCAGGCCCAGAGTTCAAGCCCCATGACCGACCTCCCAAAAAAAGTCTCATGGGGACTTTTTCTGCAGGGGCTGGCTTCAAACTGTGATACTCATATCTCAGTCTCCTGAAGTAGGTTTACAGGTGTGAGCCACCAGCACCCAGCCTTCTGAATTCTTAATTTTAGGGCTGGAAGTATATGCATGTAGTGTAAAAGCTCTCTGGTTTTGGTTTTCACCTCTATTTAAAGATCACTACTTGGTGGTTCACACCTGTAATCCTAGCTAGAGTGTTGGACATCACCCAGGCTCTGAGTTCAATCACCATCTCTCTCTCTCTCTCTCTCTCTTACACACACACACACACACACACACACACACAGACACACATACACACAAGGTCACAACTTGAAAGTGTCTTGACAGTTTTAGTTGTCTGGTTACCAGGTATTGTTTAGTTACTAGGTATTGAGAGCTGGGTCTCTGCTGAATCTGTAGCAGTGAACTCAGTTCACATGTTCCTACCCTTATGCAACTTCCTCTATGGATGAAGTGGACAGAAAACAAGATAAAAAATTAACATAAGCCCAGCATAGGTGGCTCAATCTGTTATCCTAGTTACTCAGGAGGCTGAGATCTGAGAATTGCAGTTTGATGCTAGCCCATACAGAAAAGTCCTTGAGATTCTTTTTTTTTAAAAATTTTTATTTATTTTTTATTGTGAAAATACAGTACAGAGGGGTTACACTTACATGAGCAAGATAATGAGTACATTTCTTATCTAGCATTGTAGTCTCCTCCTTTGTTTCCCCTTCCCATCCCTTCCCAGCCTCCCCCCGCCCCCCCACCCAATTCTCCCCTCCCCACCAAAGTTGTAAAGTTCGTTTTCGACATGACAACTTGTACTTCATCCTTGAGATTCTTGATCTCCAATTAAGTACCAAAAAAAAAAAAAAAAAGGAAAAGAAAAAATGTTAACATACATATTACATATTAGAAAATACTTTTTTTTTTTTTTTTTTTTTGCCAGTCCTGGGGCTTTACTCAGGGCTTGAACACTGTCTCTGAACTTGTTTTGCCCAAGGATAGCACTCTGCCACTTGAGCCACAGCACCACTTCTGGCTTTTTCTATTTATGTGGTACTGAGGAATCAAACCCAAAGCTTCATGCATGCTAGGCGAGCAGAGCACTCTACCACTAAGGCCATTCCCAGCTCCAGAAGATACTTTCTTTTTTTTTGGTCGGCTGTGGGGCTTGAACTCTGGGCCTGGGCGCTGTCCCTCAGCTCTTCAGCTCAAGGCGAGCTTCTACCACTTGAGCTACAGTGCCACTTCCAGTTTTCTGGTGGTTTATTGGAGATAGGCGTCTCACAGTCTCTCCTGCCCAGGCTGGCTTTGAACCAAGATCCTCAGATCTCAGCCTCCTGAGTAGCTAGGATTACAGGCGTGAGCCACCGGTGCCCGGCTCCAGAAGATACTTTTAAGAAGAAAAATAATGCAAGAAAGAGAGACTGTGTGTGTGTGTGTGTGTGTGTGTGTGTGTGTGTGTGTGTGTGTGTGTGTGTGTGTGTGTGTGTGTGTGTGTGTGTGTGTGTGTGTGTGTGTATTGTGATTTTAAGGAGAGTCACAGGGGAAGGACTGAGTAAACAGGTAACATATAAGCATAGATTTAAGGAAGTTGAAGGATGCCCTCTGAAAGGTAATCTAGACCAAGAACATTAACAGGTTTTAGTAAATGAAAGATGTATAAGGTACCAAATGAAACTAACCACATACATGAATTGTTAGATTTTTCATCTTACTGAAATGAAGTAGAAGACATTAGGTAAAACCAGGATACAAACTTCCTTTTCCTTTTCCTTTTGAAAGGAATTTGTATTTTCAGTGTTTCAATGTTTTCTTATTTCATAGGATCTCTTCTTATGTAAATATTAGAGAAAAAGGGAGTACCATAAAGGTACTTCCATAAAGATAGAGGGAACAGCATAAAGACAGATAAAGTGGAGTCAGCTGAACTTCAAAGATAGTAAGGCTGGTTTGACTAGATTATTTTTACTGAGCAGTCTGTGAAGAAAAGGCTAGAGATGAGATGTAAGGTATTGAAAAAATCAAAGGTAATTTGAATATATATAAGAAGCAATAGAAAATGAAGCCCTGAGGTGAGGTAGTGAACTGTACAGATGCCAAGAAATGTCATTCCAGGCAGAAGGAGCATTAAGTGCAAAAATGGATACATGTTTGTCATATACTAGGTACAGCAAAGGAGCCTAGTATGAATGAAGAGGGTGAATGAAGAGGGTTATAAGGTAGATAATGAAGTTATGAATGGTAGGACAGATCATAGAGGGCAGGGTCTCTCAACTTTGGCATTGTTGATACCTCAGATTTGATAATTTTGGGGTGTGTGTGTGTCTTGTGCATTCCAGAAGGTTTAAGCAGCATTCTTAACCCCTATGCACTAAGATGTCAGTTGCATCTGCTGCAAGTTGTGACAACCCAAAATGTTTACTGATGTGACTAGTGTCCTTTGGTCAAAAATTGTCCATGGTTTAGAATCACTATAGACCTATAAGGTCCTACAGGTTAAGGCTTTACATTTTACTTGAATAAGATTTTACTTGGGGGCTGGGAAATTGGCTCAGTGGTAGAGTGCTTGCCTTGCATGCCTGAGGCCCTGGGTTCGATTCCTCAGCACCACATAAGCAAAAAGAAAAAAGCCAGAAGTGGCGCTGTGGCTCAAGTGGTAGAGTGCTAGCTTTGAGCTGAAGAGCTTAAAGGTGGTAGATACTGGCATCCTGTATTGCTGTTCTAGTAGTTCAGAGATGGTGTAAAGAAAGTTCTATTCAAGATCTCCTGTTACACAGCTATTATTTTGAGCATAAGTTAGGTTTTTTCCAAATGACTTCACACTCTGTTTTATTTTTTATTTTGCCAGTCTTGGAACTTGAACTTGGGGCCTGGACACTGTCCCTGAGCTTCTTTTTGCTCAAGGCTAATAATATTGTAACACTGCAGCCACAGCACCACTTCTGGCCTTTTCTGTTTATGTGGTACTGAGGAATGCTAGGCAAGCACTCTACCAGTAGGCCACATTCCCAGCCCCTTTGTTTTAATTTTAAGTTTTAACTTTTGAATTTTATATATACATCTATATACATATTTATATGTAGTACTATCTATATGTATAGATATAAATGTATATATACATATATATTATAGTGATTCAAGCAACTGATTTGATTCAAATTATTAGGTGAGTTATTTTTCTATGCAAATTACTTTATCATTTAATATTAACCATAGAGAGACTGTTAGGTTCTTTTTTTTTTTTTTTGGTCGGTCATGGGGCCTGAACTCTGGGCCTGGGCTCTGTCTCTCAACTCTTCAGCTCAAGGCTAGCATTCTACCACTTGAACCACAGCACCACTTCTGGCTTTTTCTGCTTATATGGTGCCGAGGAATGGAACCCAGGGGCCTCATGCATGCAAGGCAAGCACTCTACCACTGAACCACCTTCCCAGCCCCCTGTTAGGTTCTTGTAAAAAGTTTTTGAAAAAATTACTTTTCAATTTGTTGTGTAAGCTAGGAGAAAAATTAGTTTTTTTCTTATACCTTAATTGATCATGTATAATATACTGTTCCTCCTAATTAACTGAATACAGTTGTGTGATCAGTAAACCAGAGTCACTGCTATGTAAGAGTAACTTTATTATTATTACTACTTTTTTTTTTTTTTTTGGTTGTGGGGCTTGAACTTGGCCTGAGTGCTGTCCCTGTGCTCTTTTGTGCAAGGCTAGCACTCTGCCACTTTGAGCCACAGCTCCATTTCCAGTTTTTTAGTGGTTAGTTGGAGATAGAGTCTTAATAGGGACTTTTCTGCTCTGTCTGGCTTTGAATGGTGTTCTTCAGATCTCAGCCTCCTGAGTAGCTAGGATTACAGGCATTGAACCACTGGTACCTGGCTTAAATGTTATTTTTATTTTTTTATTTTTTGGCCAGTCCTGAGACTCAGGTCCTCGCCACTGTCCCTGAGCCTCTTTGTAATCAGTGCTAGCGCTCTCGCATTTTGAGCCACGACTACACTTCCAACTTAGTGTTTATTGGAGATAAGAATCTTATGGACTTTTCTGCTCAGGCTGGCTTTGAACTATGATCCTCAGATCTCAATCTTCTAAGTAACTATGATTACAGGCATGTTTATTATTGTTTTTATTTTATTGTATTTATTTATTTTTTATTACTCTTTTATAAGTGTATGCACTATATTGTGCCTGACATATGGTAAGTATTCAATACTTCGTAATCATTATATGAGTCTACAGTGAAACAGAAGCACTCAGAATTTAAAACAAACCAACCATCCAGAAACAAAGTTTTTAGTATTCAAAAACAGCCACTGCAAACTCAAAGTAAAAACCAGTAGAAATAACAAAGTATTTCTTTGATTTTAGGATTAAATGAAAAATTTATATTGTAATATCAAAAGTATTTCAGTGTACATACTATTACTTATAAAATATAGGGTAAATAGTAATAAAATATTTTATAAGACTTCATGGGAAATAAATTCTAACTGGTTGTAGTTTTTCACTGTAAATTTTGTAACATCGTATTTACTTTTTCTAGCCTCTTGACTAGGAAATAGACTTGCAGAGAAATATATTCCTTATTGTATACTTACTGTATTTTTTTCTATTACATTGTAATAGAAATAGGTCAACTTGCAGATAAGTGTATTCCTTACTGTTTTCCTTACTGCTTTTTTTTTTCTATTACAGTGTTTCTGTTGCTAGAATTCATTTCCTTTATTCAAAGGAATTAAGAATTTAAATATTTGTTGAGTCCTTGTTTTTTTGTTTTTTTTGGTTAGGGGGTTTGAACTCTGGGCCTAAGCGCTGTCCCTCAACTCTTCAGCTCAAGGCTGGTGCTCTACCACTTGAGCTATAGCCCCACTTCCAGTTTTCTGGTGGTTTATTGGAGATAAGAATTTCATGGAGGGGGCTGGGAAGGTGGCTCAGTGGTAGAGTGCTTGCCTTGCATTCCTGAGGCCCTGGGTTCGATTCCTCAGCACCACATAAGCAAAAAGAAAAAAGCTGGAAGTGGCATTGTGGCTCAAGTGGTAGAGCGCTAGCCTTGAGCTGAAGAGCTGAGGGACAGCGCCCAGGCCCAGAGTTCAGGCCCCATGACCGGACCCCAAAAAAAAAAAAAAAGAAAAAAAAAAAAAAAGGATTTCATGGAGTTTCTTGCCCGGGCTGGCTTTGAACGGAGATCCTCAGATCTCAGCCTCCTGAGTAGCTAGGATTACAGGCGTGAGCCACCGGTGCCCGGCGAGTCCTTGTTTTTTCAGAATTCTTACTATTCAGATTGATTGACCCCTAATTTGTGATTTTACTTTTAAAATGGTAGTTACTATTCATATCAAATTGGAAAGGTGGCTGCTTCTATGTGTTTAGAGCATTTGAGAGTAATTAGGTACACAAATAGTAATAGCATATGTCACAGTGTACTCAGGACAAAAGGAATCTCTTTGTTTTTTAATTTTATTTCTTTTTTTTCCAGTCGCGGGGCCTGAACTCTGGGCCTGGGCACTATCCCTCAGCTCTTCAGCTCAAGGCTAGTGCTCTACCACTTGAGCCACAGCGCCACTTCCGGCTTTTTTCTTTTTGCTTATGTGGTGCTGAGGAATTGAATCCAGGGCCTCGAGCATGCAAGGCAAGCGCTCTACCATTGAGCCACCTTCCCAGCCCCAAAAGGAATCTCTTGATATTAGACAAGAATATGAATTATATACTAAATATGAATTATATACTATTAATTACTAAATACAAGGCCTTAGTAGTAGTAGTAGTTGTCTTCTAGTCAAATAAGTATTGGTTAAATTGAGAATAATTCTAAACAAAATTTAATTGATATTTTTCTTTGAAATAAGCTTTGTTAGCAAATATGATTCCTCATTAGTATCATTTTGATGTTTGTTCCTTCAGTATCAAGTATGAATTTTGATTAAATGTTAATGATGAATTATTAACTCAGATGATTGATGTGAAAACTTTGTGTTTACTACAGTTTTTTAATTTTTTGAAGAGGATATGTTTTACTGACAATTTCTTATTGATTCTTCTAGGAATGGATCGTGATTATGGTCCTGGATCTTATGGAGGTCTGACATTCAAGGATATTTATCTAAATATTCTTCTTTTGAGTGCCAGTAAAGGTGAGCATAATTTAATTATTTTCTTTTTAAACTCTTGTAGGGATGGACCGTGACTATGGCCATGGATCGTATGGGGGTCAGAGATCCATGGATTCCTACCTAAACCAGTCATATGGCATGGACAATCACAGTGGTGGTGGTGGGGGTAGCAGGTAAATAACTTAATCACTTGGCCAAATAATTACACAACTATGAATCTGGATATATTATTTTTTAAGTATTGCTTAGGTTTGTTATGTTTGAATTTTGCTGTTTGGTATTGAATTTCACCTTATATGTTTAGTTGTATTAGTTAATGGGTATAAAGATTATCTCAGGATCACTAGCAAAAGACATTTTAGGAAAACCTCAGATAACATAACTTCAGTATAAAATAAATATTGTCTTTATTAGTGAACTTTCAAATTTCATTTTTTACTTCTCTTCCTTTTAACTCCTTATCAGTTAGAGTATCTTGAAAAATGTTTAAAAAATGTTGTTGGTAATATTGTGAAACTTTCTGTTGAGGTTTGAATTCAGGGCCTTTTGCTTGCTAGGCAGGTGCTATTACCACTTGAGCCATGCCTCTAGCCCTAATTTTTTCTTACTGATTAAGAAGAAATTTTTCTAAGGTGTTTGTAAGTAAAACAGCAAAATGGTCAGACTAACCAGTTTAGCAAAATTTAATTTCTAAGAAATACTTAGGATAGTTTTTTTCTTCTTCTTTTGGTTGGTTGTGGGGCATGAACTCAGGACCTGGGTGCTGACCCTGAGCTCTTTTGCTCAAGGCTGCCGCTTGAGCCACAGCACCACTTCTGGTTTTCTGGTGGTTAATTAGACATGAGAATCTCACAGACTTTCCTGCCTGGGCTAGCTTTGAACCTTGAGCCTCAGATCTCAGCCTTCTGAGTAGGATTACAAGCATAAGCCATCAGTGTCCGGCTAAGATAGATTAAGAAAATTTAATTTTAAAGTAAGTGGTGAAGCATATTGTAATAATAAAAAAAAGGTTAAAAAGAGGTATAGCAAGGTTATTTACTGACAACTACAACTTCGACCAAAAACACTTGTGCTTTTGGTTAAGAGAATTGTATTAAAGCCATGAATACTATATCTTCCACTATCATCTAGAACACATTTATATTTCACTGATGATACTGTGTGAGACTGAACCCTAGTTAAAAAAAGGACTACATACTCAAGAACATTCAAAGGGGGTTTTCTTTTGAGGCACAAAACTTCCTGATGAATATAACTGAAACTAGTTAGGAGATAATTTGAAACCATTGTCCTTCTTAAATGGAAGGATCTGGATTCCTAGATGGACTTAAATGATGATTACTTTTCCTCTTTCTGTTTCAAGTATATCACTATGATTTACAGTAAAGAAAAATCAAGGAAACAGTAACTTATATGATAGTTTTGAAAAGAGAAATGATTTTTGTATGACTGCTAGGATTCAGAAGTAAATAGTACTTTTGATTTAGTGATTTGTAAATAATTGAAGGAATGTAACATTTAGACGTTTTAATATGTCAGCTAATGCCTTATTACATTGTAAATGTAATGTACATAAGCTATTTCTGTAGATGTTATCATTCATTTCTTGTGTATTTGTGGGCTTTTATAAAACTGTTGTAAGATAACAAACAACCTTTTGTAATCCATGGTTTAGATTTCTGAGATGATTTGTTTTTCTGTTGAATCTTAAGACTGTGTGCTCCTTTTTTTAGGGTAGTTTTATGTGATAATTTCCTGCTAGGGAATAGTTTTTAAGATAATTGTGGGTAATATAAAATGTATTGTTTCTGCCTTGAAAATTCATATACAGAGGGTATATATGTTGGTCACCTCTATGTTCTGTTTATCCTTCTACATTTGTTAGGTTTACTAGTCAATAAGTAAAAAGTATTTATGGTTGATTATTGTCCTTGGCTGAAGTTTGGCAGATTGTCAAATTTTATAACCTGAGATATTTCCTCAGATTTTGATTATTCTAGACTCAATGAGGGAGTTAGGTATGTAGATTATTGGGGTACAGAAGGAGTGTTCTGTACCATCATTAGCATTCATCTATTTAGTCTTCAATTTGAGTCCCTGAGGAAAGCCAAAATATTTCAAATGCTTTGTAATTCTCAATAACAGGGATGGAATCAAAGAAAGTTTGAATAGTTTGTGAACTTTAGCAAATGACCTTTTCTAAGACTAGGGCTGGGCTTAAATAATGACAACAAATCTCTCAATAAAACAGAAAAACTGCTAAAAAGCAGATTTCTAAACTAAGTTTTACTAAAGTCAATTAATTAGAAACTGTCTCAGATAGCTTTCTATCTGTTCTCATATTGAACTGCCCAGCCCTAATCAAGTGTGTACAAAGTAGAACTGTACAAACCAGTATGGTATAAATGAATTTTAGTTGCTAAATGTCATCTGATAATTTGTTTTTGAATTGTCTAACATTAGTAAGCTTACTTTTGTTTTTTCCCTCACTGTGCAACTTTTCCAGGTTTGGACCTTATGAGTCTTACGACTCCAGGTCTTCTCTGGGTGGGCGAGATCTGTACAGATCTGGCTATGGTTTTAATGAACCCGAACAAAGCCGCTTCGGAGGTAGTTATGGTGGTCGATTTGAGAGCTCCTACCGGAATAGCCTTGACTCTTTCGGAGGTAGAAACCAGGGCGGGTCTAGCTGGGAAGCACCTTACTCCCGTTCAAAATTGAGGCCTGGGTTTATGGAGGACAGAGGAAGAGAGAATTACTCTTCCTACAGCAGTTTTTCTTCACCCCATATGAAGCCTGCACCTGTAGGCTCTCGGGGGAGAGGAACCCCTGCTTATCCTGAAAGTACGTTTGGAAGCAGAAACTATGATGCTTTTGGAGGACCATCAACAGGCAGAGGCCGAGGCCGAGGAGTAAGTACAACAGAATCTTTTCAGATTCTTTTCACTAGTCACTCTTTTAAACCCTTTCAAGACCATTGTTTTCAACTAGAATAAACACTGTTCATCCCAGTGTATTTTAAGCAAAAGCTGAGTCTAAATATGTGTTAGGTTTACTATAAAAGTTTTTCTAGAACCTCAGAAAATAGTGGCAGTTTGAGATGATTGCTCATGAAGTTATGCCAAATCTCCCTTTATTGAAAAGGTGAGGATGTTAGGTTTGGTCTAAAAGGGGTTAAAAGGAGTTGCAATTTTCCTTGTAAACACTAGCAGCTAGCTGGTGGGACAGTTCTTGGATCACTGTAAAAGGTTAACTGAACCCTTTTTGAGTAGGTTAAAGGTGCAATGTATGATAAAATGTTTGCTACTTAACACTAGCAAGTAGAATTTCTTCAAAGCTCTGTGTTTTAGATCAGGATAGTGTAGCCATCTTTATGTGGTGAAGAAGTTGGTGTGTAGATTGTAGAACGACTTGTGGTCTGTATAATTTTGTTAATTTAGTCTCTTAGGATATTGGTGATTGTTTTATTTCTTCTCATGTCACTAGCTTTACTGTCCAGAAATAATATCCTACCTGTATAGCCATGATGGCAGCACCTTCCTAGGAAGTAGTATTTTATAAATTATTGCTTTAATGAGTAACTCTAGTTCCCTGATGTTTTAATTTCAGGGTATAAAAGATTATGCTTTATGTTCTTAGATAACTTGATAGTTGTGAAATTTTACCTAGTATATAGATTGTGGGATTATATAGTTTTTTTGCTATAAGATTTCTTTTTGAAAGTCAGCTGTGCTTAATAATCTTATTGTAGAGGAAATAATTCTGATTAAAATGGCATAGGGCATTGGTTTTGACTGTTCATTTAGCTTTCCATATGTCAGTATAGGTTGTCATGCTTGTGTAGAAATTTTTCATTTTTAAGTTAATCTTAGGTAAAATGCATTGCACCTTTAATTAATGAAGATCTCTTTTTGATGTGACCACATAAATTACCTGGAAATATTTATCCAAATCTAGGTTAGATAGGTGTTCCTAAGAAAAGTATACAAGTACAAGCAGCTATGTTGCTGCTCCACCATACATACTTGATGATTGTAGGTCAATTAAAAATCACTGGACTATTAGATGTTGGGGTTAAAAATTGAAAATCGACTGCAGTTTGAAAATTTAGAAAACACTTAACATTTTCCAAGCTATATATTAGCAAAGGATTGTTAGGCTTCAGATAATCAGTTTTGTTTTTATGATAATACAAGTATTCCTGTACTTTGTATTTACTTACCATTCTAGTTGGAATGGAATGTTGTTTCTATATCAATAGGGTCTTTAATTTTAATCTTCACTTGTACAATTCCCATTGGGTCCTTCTCTTCAGATTACTCCTCAGTCTACCTTCTAAAAGTCAGAATAGCGGAATGAGTTTGTATGGACACGGGCCTCTTGATGTAGTGGGTTTTGTTAATGGCAAGATAAGAGGAAGGAATACAAAGAGTCATTTGATGGCATGACTCTTCATCTGTAAACTATTGTTCTTGGGCTCCTGGGTCAGAGTATGTTTCTCTAGGTAAGAATGTGAATGGAACGTCAGATGCAGTTCTTTATCTGAAGTGTATCTTGGAAGTTGATGCATGGTTATGCTTTAACTCTCCTATTTCATACTAATGTTCCATCTCGCCTTCTCATTCCGTTTTCCAACAGGGAGAAATCCTAAATGATTTCTGGAATATGTTCTTCTTTGTGTATTTTAGCTTTAAGCCAGGTATTTAGTAAAATAAAGATTTCTTTTAAGGTGTTTTCATGGCATAACATCATTTAGGAACTCTGAAGAGGAGTTGTCAAAGAGTTGTACAAGTGGTAACCTTCTGACAGACACATATGGTGTTTATGACCTCAAGTAATTTTGATTGTAAAAGAAATCAAATAAGTAGGAAATATTTACATTTGCTTTGCAGATAAAAACATTAATTCACCGGATTTGAGTTCATGTAATAATTTACAAAGTTTTAAAGTGTGCTTTTTCTGAGTGGACATGTAAAATTTAGATTACATTCCAGGGAATTTTCAGGTGAAAACTAGTACATAGGTGATAAGAAAATACTATATGAGTTCATATTTTGTTTTTGGACAATATGCTAATATTTCTTGATTTCACCAAATTTACAGCATATGGGTGACTTTGGAAGCATTCATAGACCTGGCATTGTTGTTGACTATCAAAACAAGCCCACCAATGTGACAGTTGCTACTGCAAGAGGAATAAAGAGAAAAATGGTACAACCATTTAATAAGCCTGGTGGAGCCTTTATCAAGAAACCTAAGTTAGCAAAACCTATGGAGAAGATGAGCCTCAGCAAATCACCTAGTGAGTAAGAAACCACAGTTGGCTGTCGCTTAGGATATTTTTCATTTTTGATATTCATTGGTTTTAAGATAATTTTTTAATGTTTATATGGAAGATTAACCAATAATTGCAATTATCGAAATTAGATCTGTGAGTCCTCTATAGCAGCTATAAAACAATTTTATGTACTTAAATAGATCTTTAAAATTCACATAGCCAGGGCTGGGAAGGTGGCTCAGTGTTAGAGCGCTTGCCTTGCATGCATGAGGCCCTGGGTTTGATTCCTCAGCAGCACCACATAAGCAGAAAGAAAAAAGCCGGAAGTGGCGCTGTGGCTCAAGTGGTAGAGTGCTAGCTTTGAGCTGAAGAGCTGAGGGACAGCGCCCAAGCCCAGAGTTCAGGCCCCATGACCGGACCCCCCCACCAAAAAAAAAAAAATTCACATACCCTTGTCTATTCCTTTACTCTGAGTTATATGTGGTGGGACTTTCCATGTGAGTTTTATTTAAGCCCCTTTCTTGGGGTAAGTGTCACAGGGTTGTCCATCATATTGTATAGGATCTTCTTTATGACAGCAAAGGAAAGAAAATATTCCTTATCTTGGTACTAGGCAAAACTGTGTTTTTTTTTCTAGAAAACTAATTTGCCTTATAGATGATCATACATATTTTATATTGACAAAGTTTTCAGCCAGTCTAAACATGGAATTAAGAAATTTTCATCCATGTCAGCATCAAGAAGAATAAAATATTTGAGAAAAAATAGTAGTATAAAACACATACTCCAGGGCTGGGAATGTGTCTAGCGTGCGTGAAGCCCTGGATTCAATTCCTCAGTACCACATAAAATGAAAAAGCTGGATGATGCTGTGTTTCATTTGATAGACTGCTAGCGCTGAGCAAAAGAAACTCAGGAACAGCACCCAGGCCCTGAAATAAAGCTCCAGGACTGGCAAAGCAAAAACAAAAAAACATATACTCTATAACTACAGAAAGAAAGAAAATTGAAGTTTCATTATTGAATGAAATTAAAGTTCTAGACAGGTACTGGTAGCTCACGCCTATAATCCTAGCTATTCAGGAGGCTGAGATCTAAGGAACATGGTTCAAAACCAGCCCAGGCAGGAAAGTCTGCCAGACATTTATCTACAACTAATCACCCTAAAACTGGAAGTGGAGCTGTGGCTCTAAGTGGTAGAGGACTAGCCTTGGACTGCAAAGCTTAGGTACAGTGCCCAGACCCTGAGTTTAAGAGCCATGACTGACTCCCCCCCACCCAAAAAAAAGTTTTAAATAAATAAGAAAAACTGAATTAGATTGGAAGGCAACATGTCAAGATAGATTTTTTCCTAATCTAATCTAGAGATGCACTACAATTCAAAGGATGAGCAAAGGCAGCAGTGGCACTCATTAGACACTATGAAGGAAGGGGTGACATTGTCCAAAGAGAAATGTACTCATGGCTGGGAAGGTGGCTCAATGGTAGAGCGCTTGCCTTGCATGCATGAGGCCCTGGGTTCGATTCCTCAGTACCACATAAGCAGAAAAAGCTGGAAGTGGTGCTATGGCTCAAGTGGTAGCCTTGAACTGAAGAGCTGAGGGACAGTGTCCAGGCCCAGAGTTCAGGCCCCATGGCCAAAGAAACCAAAAACACAAAAACACAAAAACAAACTCATTACCTGACTTAGGAAACTGTAACCCCTCTATATATCACTTTTATAATAACAGTTAAGAATTTTCTAGCTAAACTCATTTCATGATTTCACATTTAACCAAGACGGTGGTTCTGACATAGGGTGGCTGTACATTCATATACATGTGTGTGCATATATATAATTGGAGTAGAGTTGAAAGCCCAGAAATAAATTATATTCCTGCTCAACTGGGAAAAACAGTATTCAAAAATAGTATTCAACTGGAGAGAGAATAGTCTTTTTTGACAAATGGTGCTAGAAGAGTTGGCTAGCCACATACAAATAAAATGCAAGATTTTGCAAGACCAAAATATATAAAACTCTTGGAAGAAGACATCAGCGAATTTTCATGATTTTAGGTTTGACAAGGAATGTTTATTATTTATTTATTTTTGTTGGTCTTGGGGCTTGAACTCTGGGCTTGGGAGCTATCTGCTTCAGCTCAAGGCGAGTGTTCTACTGCTTGAGCCCCACTTCCAGTTTTCTAGTGGTTTATTGGAGATAAGAGTCTTACAGACTTTCCTGCCTGGGCTGGCTTTGAACTGCGATCCTCAGATCTCAGACTCCTGAGTAGCTAGGATTACCGGCGTGAGCCACCGGTGCCCGGTTAGGAGTATAAGATTCTATTTAAGCAAAATATTCAGAATACAGAAAGCAGGTTAGTAGTTTCCAGAACTCTAGAGTAGGGATGGAAAGGGTAAGGACTGTGTAAAGTCTACTGGCGTGTACTTGCAGCAGTGAGAAAGTTCTGGAACCAGATAGTGGTGATGTTTGCATGACTTTCAGATGTATTTAAAGCCACTGAACTATATACTTTAATATGGTTAAAGTGGTATTTTATCACAATAGAAAAAGAAGAAACTTGATTTACTTTGGAGTTTATGTAATTAAAAACATTTAGCGTTTCTACAATATGTGAATTCTTAGCTTGAGGGCCACTTAGAATTTATTGTACTTTTCCATTTTCACAGTGAGTAAAATTATTTCAGTGTTTGCTAAAGTATGTGTGGTATGCATGATTTTAGGGAGTTAAAAGATATTATTAAGGTAAGGATAACATAAAATAAGAAGATTTAGAGAAAAAATATGTAGCTTGAGAAGCAAATATGGCAAGATTCACAATTAGGAAATTTGCGAAGTTTCACAAATACTGTGTAGTTCTAGAAACATTGGGTAGCCTCAGGCTGAATTTTCTGGTGAGTTCAGGTTAGATTATCATCACTCAAACCCTGTATGCCTGTGCTTTAGAAACTGGTAATTGGAAAGGGAGACTGGAAAAATGCTTTTTAGTTCCAACTTTTTTCTTCTAATATCTTAGCAAAAGCTGACCCTAAAAATGAAGAAGAAGAAAAGCGACGAATTGAGGCCCGACGAGAGAAACAAAGGCGTAGAAGAGAAAAAAACAGTGAGAAATATGGTGATGGATACAGGTTTGTGTTAATAGAGTCAAAAAATGGGCTCTCTTAGGAAAAAAAGGTTTTCTAAGCCAGGTACCATGACATGTGCCTGTAATTCCAGCACTCAGAGGTTCAGCTAGAGAACTGGTATTTCTTTTTTTTTTTTCTTCGTTATTGAGATTAAGTGATTAGATAAATTTCACAGTCTTGTGAGATAGTGATACTTAGCTAAAGTCACAAACACATTTTAACTTTCACAAGGAAAATTGTCATTATTATGCTCTATAAAGCTTATGAACTCTATGACAGTACAACTATCTTCCAAACAGGTGATGTAGACATTTCTTTTCTTTTGCTTAGTGTCAGCTGTTCCCTCTTTATCTCTCAGTCCCTCCCTCCCATCATTGCCCTTGAGTTGCGTAGTTCACTTTCATCCATGTCCAGTACAGCTGATGGGCCCCTCTGCTATATTTTTTTCACCTATTTCCTCTGATTCCATTTCCTCCTCCTAGCTTCCTTCCTGTGTGTACATATATACCATATGTGGGAGATCATCTAAAAATGAGGTGACAGATTAAGAAGAGGTCCTTTGTTTCTTGAGTCCTATTTCCTTTGTCACATCTTGTTGCATTTTGAATTTAATATCAGAGGATTGATATTTCAAGGCCAGACTGGGCTACATACATAGTGAGACCCTATTGTAAAATAAAAGTTTCCTAGAAAAGGTCAATACATGAATTAGAATATCTTTTTTTTTTTTGTCGGTCGTAGGGCTTGGACTCTGGCCTTGGGTGTTGTCCCTGTGCTCTTCAGCTCAAGGCAAGCGCCCTTCCCCTTGAGCCACAGTGCCACTTCCACTTTACTAGTGGTTTATTGGAGATAAGAGTCTCACAGACTTTACTGCCTAGGCTGGCTTTGAACCGCGATCCTCAGATCTCAGCCTCCTGTGTAGCTAGGATTACAGATGTGAGCCATTGGCGCCTGGCTTAGAATTAGAATATCTTATAAGTTAAGTTTAAAAGGGTTGAATAAAGATGTGTAAGAAATGTTTCTGATTTTTAGTATTTATATGTGACCACAACTTGGAAAAAAAATTCTATTACTACCAGTACTCTAAAAATACAAAATGCACAGAAATAATAAATTCTTGTTAAAAAAAACTTGAGGAAAACTATAATCTTGAGATCTGACTATATGACAATATAATGATAGTCTTGGGTATTATGCATAAGTTTTTTTCCAACCCAGGTCCCAAAAAGAATTCTAAATAAGATGAGTAAATGAGCAGAAACTGGCTTTTCCAGACATTAAAAATCACTAAAAGATTGTAATGAGGTTCAGTGGTAGAGCAGATCACAATAAGAAAACAAAAAAGAGTAATAGATAAAAATCTGACTTTTTTTGCCTATGAGCACAGATATGTTAAAAATAGTAATAATGAAGATACTACATACAAAACAGGGTTTGGTCATACAACTAAGAAAAACAATACATAAAAAAATAAACTGCGAATGTATTTTTGTTCTTTTAAATTCAGTTTGTGTAACAAAAAGTGAAACATTTCACATAAAATGAATTTCCTAGGTGGCCAAAACTCTGTCTTTGAAAGATAGAATGTAGAACTGAAATTCTTGCTGGTGATCTTTTCATTTATTTTTTATTTTTTATTTTTTTGTCGGTCATGGGACTTGAACTCTGGGCTTGGGTGCTGTCCCTGCGCTCTTCAGCTCAAGGCGAGCGCTCTACCACTTGAGCCACAGCGCCATTTCCGGTTTTCTAGTGATTTATTGGAGATAAGAGTCTCACAGACTTTCCTGCCCAGACTGAATTTGAACCTCGATTCTCAGATCTCAGACTCCTGAGTAGCTAGGATTACAACGTGTGAGCCACTGGCACCCGGCTGCTGGTGATCTTTTTAATGTATTGGTTCTTTGCTTAAACAGGAAACTTTTTGTTACTCAGTCTTGAAATGTACATTAGATTTGTTCACATTAAATTTGGTCTTTGATTTTAGTCTCTTGGTATACTTGTGTAATTGTTTTATTATGTTTTCTGGTTTGTTATGCCTAATTTTCTGGGATTTAAGAGACAATAGAACTAACCACATTAGGAATTGATCCATAAGGAGAAGGTCTGGTTTTAGGAGGACTCCTGTTTTGGGTTCTTCTATTTATACTGCCCTAATTTCCCATAATTCCTTCTCCTTTTATCAGAGGTAATGAGCATAGTTACTAAGCATTTTTTATTCAATGTGGAGAAGTCTGAAGATGATTTTGCTTTGTAAGATTAAGTTTTTGTATTATGTCGTGAGTACTTTTCTCATTAAAACTGTGGATTTGAATATGATTTAAGCATGTTGGTAAAATAAACGTTGCAATTTGGAAAAAATGAAAACTGAAATTCTGTGACCTTTTGTCTTCATGACTTTAGTTACAAACCTTATCTACTGGACAGAATGTCAATGTAATTAAACATTGTCATTTTAGGATAAGAATTCTTGGAAATTATTTTAGACATTTTCTTTCTTCTCTGGTGCTGGGTTTTGAACTCAGAACTTTGAGTATACTAGGCAAGTGCTCTACCACTAAGTTATATCTCTAGCTCTACTGTAATTATTTCAGTTTACCAGAGCAGTTTTATGTTAGGAGGATTGGAGGTGGCAAACAACGATTGTGATATGTCCTCTAATATTTGAGTGCTTTCAATGTGATTAAGAGAATGAAAACATGACTATGGGAATTTAAAGGAGCCTGACGCGGAAGGGATGGATGTGTGAGAGGTGTACACAAACAACAGTACATGGGGAAACACTGCCAAAAGAAGCACATCCCTTTTTTTTTTTTTTACTTAGCTCACATCAGTTATATGGGAGTAGGGAATGGGAAAGCCTTCATTGTCACATTCCCACACATATTTACAATATATTTCAATCAATTATGAGTGGAAGCTTTATAAGTGGGAGTAAATCTGGGATGTCTGTTAGTGGAGATGGTATTTAGCCTGTTTAGGAATTGAAGGATTGCGGGAGGAATTGTGAGTGGCAGCTTAGGTAGAATGCATGGCTTGATATAAAAGCAGAGAGAGATGCATATTTTACTGATATTCAGAAAATGAGAAGCTTTGTAGATTAAAGTGACTGTAGTGGGTTGAAATACTATAATTTAAACAGTTTAGGAAGACATACCATGAGCAAAACATTGCTAAAGGTAAAAACAACACAGAAAGTTGTGATTGGGGCAGTTCCTAGATGGTTGCTGAAATCTTGTTTTGTTTTTCTGGTATCAAGGCTTGAAAATGCCTTCACAATAGCTTGGCTTGCTTGCTCAAGGCTGGCTTTCTTCCACTTGAGCCATACCTCTGGTCTAGTTAATTAAAGATGGAGTATTTTGTGCATTTTTGCCTGAATTGGCTTTGAAACACCATCTTCCAGATCCTAGCCTCCTGAGTAGCTATGATTACAGGTGTAGGCTACTTGTGAGTGATGCTGAAATCATTTTGGCTTTGTTTTTTGAGCCTTTAAGTGTTAGTGAAACAGTACTGTGCTAATACTAATACCTCCTTTAGGAAGTAGTAATAATTGAGTATTTCAAGTAATATATAAGAAAATTGAGGGCAGAGAAGTAAAGTGACTTGCTCTAGGTCACAAAAGGAAGTTAGGATATAAACCCAGTAATATATTCAAGAACCCATACTCTCAACAAGAAAAACATATCTAATAACATTGCAAGAAGTTACTTGGAAAATAGAAGACAGAAATCAGGAACCAGTTAGAAAACTGTCATAATTAAAGGAAAAAGAAACTAAAAACAGTAGGTGAATTCATTCTGGGTTGGCTTTGAGTTTCTAAATATGCACATTTGTTCAGTTAGGCTTATTTATTTATTAGCTACTCTGAAGTTACTGGTGGGTGGACCTTTTTCTTGTCAGTCCTGGGGCTTGAACTCATGGCCCGAACACTGTTCCTGAGCATCTTTAAGATCAAGGTTAGTGCTCTATCACTTAAGCCACAGTGCCACTTTTGGCTTTTTCTGAGTAGTTTATTGGAGATAAAAGGCTCACTGACTTTCTTGCCTTTGAACTGTGATCCTCAGATCTCAGCCACCTTTAATTACCCCAAAATTACATGGTAGTTTTCTGTGGTTTCTAGTGTCTTACATGAGTTTGTTGATGATACTATGGTAAACTTGAGGATGCAAAGTATAAAATAAGTTGTAGAACTTTGGGGCCAGGTGTTTCTTGAGATTTACTCTCACTCTTGAATTGGCATTGTGTTTTTCATATCCAGACTGCTAAAGGTAGACCAGCAATACAAGGTGGTACAATGACTACCATGCAAATATGTGCTTAAATTTTTTTTCTGAGTTAAGTTAAACTTAAATTAATTCAAAAAAGGAAGGAAGAAATAATTATTCTGGTAAAATTAGACTCAGTTGTATATTCTTACAAACTCTTAAGTAAATAAGGTGATACTTAAAGAAAAACTTTTTTCGTTGTAGAATGGCATTTACATGTTCATTTTGTAAATTTCGAACCTTTGAAGAAAAAGATATTGAGCTGCATCTGGAAAGTTCATCACACAAGGAGACATTAGATCATATTCAGAAACAAACCAAATTTGATAAAATAGTTATGGACTTTTTGCATGTAAGTAGCTGTTTTTCAAGTAAGAAACATCTGAATTTCTTATTTCATTTTTTACAAGTTCTTTTGTACTGTTTCAAAAAATTAATAATTAGCTTCTTATTTAAAGAAAAGTTAAAAATTAGCACAGAATTACATCTGAATTCTTCACTTATGGAATTTGGATTTGTTATTTGAAAAATAAACAGTTTCTGAGAAGTGTCTAAAAGAATTCCTGTAACAGCTTGTAGATTCAGCTAGCATCCATTGAGAACCCACTGTGTCTTAGATTGTACTTAGAACTTCAGTCTGTAGCAACTCATTTTTATTGTTATTAAAGGATCATTCTCAGAGCACCCCAAAGGACCTGTCAGTAAGTGGCAGCCAGAGAGACTTGGGTTTGTTTAGTGTCTTTCATATTATCAGTATGTGATTATCAATTTAGTAGATTTTCTTGAAGACAACCAACACTACTTTTAATGACCCCACAGTAATGGGAAATAGAGCATATGCACAGATAAACAGATGGTACATTTAGATGGAGATGCCAAGAATACAGAAATAAGTACTCCAGAATCTTGGACAAGGGAAGGATATCTGGGACTGGGAATGCTAATGGAAGAGGCTTGAACTGGTCTGCTAATTGTACATAAAACTAATTTGGGCAAAGGAGAGAAAACTACTAGGTTAGAATTACAATCATCTTTCAGATCTTAGATACTTGCAGAATTATGTTTTGATGAAAATTGCGGTTGTCAGTTGTGACTTAAATACCAGTCTACGTGACTATTCAGTTCTGTGATTTTTCTCTGACTAAAATATGTTTTGGAAAGTCCAGTACTTTTTTTTTGTTTGTTTGTTTCCTAGTATGTTTTTACATTTTTTCAATTAAATTATAAGTGGCTTGTGAACAGACAGCAGAGGAAGATATTTTCCTTAGGGTGAATGGTGGTGAATATATATCTGAGTGCTCATTGAAAACAATTTCATTCTTTATATTTTGTATTCCAGGAGTGTATGGTGAATAAATTCAAGAAAACATCTATTCGTAAGCAACAGACAAATAATCAAACAGAAGTTGTTAAGATAATAGAAAAAGATGTCATGGAAGGTGAGTATTTAAACACATTGTTTTACAAATATATATATGTATATACACATATGTATGTATATCTGTATATATTATAACCTTAGGTATATCATTAACCTAGTTGTCTTAATCCCCTTTGTACTTGTGTAACATTTTGTGCTTTTTTTTTGTTTTGTTTTGTTTTTTGGTATTTGTTTTTTGTGCTGGTACTGGGGCTCAAAGTTGGGACTTGGATGTTGTCCCTGAGCGCTTATTGCTAGCATTCTGGCACTTGAGCTACAACTCCACTTCTGGTTTTTTGTGGTTAATTGGAGATAAGAGTCTTACAGACTTTTCCTGCGCAGGCTAGCTTTGAACAGATCTCAGCCTCCTGAGTAGTTAGGATTATAGCCATGAGCCACCAGTGGCCAGCAGTGTGCTTTTCTTTATTAGTAGTCTTTTATTTGTATTTATTTTTGCTAGTCTTAGGGCTTGAACTCAGGGCCTAGGCACTGTCCCTGAGTTTCTTTTGCTCAAGGCTATCACTCTACTACTTGAGCCACAGTGCCACTTCTGGCTTTATTCTGTTTATGTGATACTGAGGAATCGAACCCAGGGCTTCATGTATGCTAGATCACTAAGCCAAGTTCCCAGCCCTGTATTTTTTAATTAATCAATTTTTTTTATGGTGTTAGGGATTAATTAGATTTAGGGTCTCACAATTGCTAGGCAAGCTCTTTACCCTTGAACTTACTAGTCCTTTAGAATTTAGTATTTCCAGGCTGGGAAGGTGGCTCAGTGGTAGAGTGCTTGCCTTGCATGCCTGAGGCCCTGGGTTCGATTCCTCAGCACCATATAAGCAAGAAGATAAAAGCCGGAAGTGGTGCTGTGGCTCAAGTGGTAGAGTGCTAGCCTTGAGCTGAAAAGCTGAGGGACAGCACCCAGGCCCAGAGTTCAGGCCCCACGACCAGACCCCCCTCCCCCCCCCCAAAAAAAAAGAATTTAGTATTTCCCAGGACTCTTGTCATTAGCCTCATGATTATTTTTCCTTACATTTCTTCTTGATGAATTCATGTATTTATAGAGTTTAAAGTAACATCTTTGTGTGAATTATATATAGATCTGTATCTCTGGCACACATCTGTATTCTGAACTCTAATCTCATTCAGCTGCCTACTGCCTGCTTTAAATACTGAAACAGAAACTGTTTCTTTTCCTCTCTATATTGCATTTGTTTAAGTCTTTATCTGTTCTTTGACAATTATGGTATTTTCTAACTGGTCTTCTTTTAGGTTTTCTTATTTCTAATTCTACTCTATGATGCTATTACGTTAGGAATTTTTCAGATGCTCTTCGTCCTCTATAGGATAGAGTTCAAATTCCTTGGCGTGACATGCAAAGCTTTTTTTTTTTTTTTAAATAGCTTAGGCCCATTATTTTCTGTTCTCATCTTTTGTTTCTCCTTTATAGTTAGCACCCTAGCCATACTGAATTAATTACTTTCCAGAAAATGCTGTATTTTATACCCTTCCCTTGCATGCTATTTTATATCCTTTATATTTCTATTTGTAGTAAACCTTGATCATCATTTATTAGTTCCAGCATAAATGTTACTCCTTGTAAATTTAATTTTGGCATCTTTTCTCCTTTGCCTAACAAATTCATAATCATAAAAATTCTTATTTTTACTATACAATCAACATGTTTTTCTTCATATTATATTTTTTGGTAGCTAGCCTTATAGGCCTTAGAGTTTGAGTCTATAACATGACTAGGAAAAACAGTGTAGTTTCACTTTCAATTTGAAAGATCTGTGTATGCAGATTTATGAGATGTGATAGAAGAACTCAACATATACCTATGCTATGCTTTTTAAAGAAGCACTATGTATGATCATGAAAACTAGCAGTAGAATTTGGTTTATGGAAATAAGAATATATGGTTCTTACCTGGGCACGGTGGCTCATGCCTGTAATGCCAACTACTTTGAAGTAGAGATAGGAGGATTATGGTTCAAAGTCAGCCTGAGCAAAGTTAGATTAAGACACTCTATAAAGAAACAAACTAAGATGGGTACAGTGGCTCACAATGTAATCCTAGCAACTCAGGAGGTAAATCAAGAGGACTACAGATTGAGTCTAGTCTGAACAAAAAGATAAGGTTTCTGAAACCCCATCTCAACTAGTAAAACCCTGGTTGAGGATTGGTGGCATGCCTCTGTCATCTTAATGATCTGGGAATTTATAGGATTGCTGTTCAAGCTAGGCTGGCAAAAAGTGGGACCCTATTTGAAAGGACGAAAAACAAAACCCACTAAAGCAAAGAAAGGCTGGGGGTATGTGACTTATACAAGAGAGCACCTGATTAGCAAGCAAAAGGCTCTGAGTTCAAACCCCAGAACCACCAAACAACCAAAAAAGGAAAAAACTAGAATGTGGCTTAGGTCGTAGAGTCAGCATTACTGCAAAGCAAAGCAACAAAAAGCCTATGTGGATCATTTGTTTAGTAATTGAGTTTTTCTTGTAGGTGTTACAGCAGATGATCACATGATGAAAGTAGAGACTGTTCACTGCAGTGCCTGCAGCGTGTATATCCCTGCATTACATAGTTCAGTTCAGCAGCACCTCAAATCTCCTGATCACATCAAGGGGAAGCAGGTAAGTGTTCATAAAATTCTAGAATTCCCCCTTAATCCTTTATCATCCTTTGGCTATTTCATATCTACCTGCATCTAGCCCTCTTAATCAGAGATGTATTTACTCATATGCAGTCATTTAAATAGTATTAAGACCATGGGCCCTTGAGCAGGCCTTTCGGGGTTTGAATTTTTGTTCAGTATATAGACATGCTGAATAAGTAAGTTATTTTTTCTTTGTCTAAGTTTCTAAGTTTCCTTATTTGTAAGATGAAGATGAATAGTCATTCTTACGTTTTTAGATGTGTTAGATTAACACAAAAGGCCACTTAAAATAGTGCCTAGTAGCAGTAAGCATTTAGGAAATCACAGCTGTTGTTAAACTGCTTTTGTTACTACTGTCTGCTTTTAAAATTGTTACATAAATCAGTTTTAGAAGTATGTCTTTTAGAATAAAAACAAGGATTTGGTTATATTTGATTCATTTTCTGTATGATTGGGAAAAAAATTAAAACCAGTGACTGTCTATTGTTACATGTTCGTGTAGGAGCTCCCTGCAATATATACTGGTTAGCATATTTCTGCTCTTTTTTTTTTTTTGTCAGTCGTGGGGCTTGAACTCTGGGTCTGGGCGCTATCTCTCTTCAGCTCAAGGGCAGCACTACCACTTGAGCTACAGCACCACTTCCGGTTTTCTGGTGGTTTATTGGAGATAGGAGTCTCACAGTCTTTCCTGCCCAGGCTGGCTTTGAACCTTGATCCTCAGATCTCAGCCTCCTGAGTAGCTAGGATTATAGGCGTGAGCCACCAGCGCCCGGCCATATTTCTGTTCATATATTGACAAGTTTTATATCAGATTTACTTCATATAACACTGTTTATATTGTGGAAAATTACTTCATCTGAAAAGCAGATTTAATGATTCACATATTAAAGTTTTAAGAATACCTGATTTTTCAAAGAGGGGGTAACAATGCTTGATAGAAAATGGACTCATTACCTTGCTCATGTGAAGTGTAACCCCGCTGTATCTTTACAATAAAAATTTATATTAAAGAATATCTGATTTTAAGTTCATATTTTATATTGAAGTGAATCTCATTTAATTCCAACTTCTTTAACTCTTGAAGCATGTATTGTTTTAACATCTTTGTGGCAATAGACACTTCTTTCCTCCTCTGTATAATTAGTCTTTCAATAACTATAACCTAGAGAAACACTGATTACTTTTGCAGTATGAAAAATTATTCCTTTTTTGATAGCATGAAATTTTTAGTGTGTGGTTTGGGGGAGGTATGTATAGATTAAAAAGGAAGGAAACAACTATGGTGGACAGAGTTACAGTTTTTGGTGGCTGTGTTTCACTGAATGTTTTATGAATATTCAATGTTTTAAACCATGGGTAACTTAGGTTATTGTTGCAATAGATCTGTAGCTAATTCGCTATTAATGTCACTTAAACCTAAGGATTTGAATCTTAAATTTTGTTTTAATTAAACACTTTTCATTGAATGGATTTCCTAGTACCTTCAGTATGTTTTGTTTTTCATAGGCTTATAAGGAGCAGATAAAAAGAGAGAGTGTCTTAACTGCAACAAGCATTTTAAATAATCCAATATTGAAGTCACGATATGAACGTTTCGTTAAGGTAAGATTTTAGGGCAATTTTTTTTTTTTTAAGGAAATACATAGTACTATAATAATTAAATAACGACATACTAGGTTTTTTTTTTTTTTTGTCAGTCATGGGGCTTGAAGTGTGGGCCTGAACACTGTTCCTCAGCTCTTCAGGTCAAGGCTAATGCTCTACCACTTGAGCCACAGTGCCACTTCTGGTTTTCTGGTGGCTTATTGGAGATAAGAGTCCCATAGACTTTCCTACCTGGACTGGCTTTGAACTGCAGTCCTCAGATCTCAGCCTCCTGAGGAGCTAGGATTACAGACATGAGCCACTGGTGCCTGGCTATTAGTAGATTTTTGTGATATTTAAATATTGTGTAACACATTGGAAAGATTTTAGTTAAAATCTTGTATACTTCCTAATGATTGAGGTTGAGGTGAGGAGAAGCAGAAAATGATTTTACTTTCATGGACTGTCCAGCTCTCAGTTATTTGAGAAATTGACAGCAGTTGGAGAGAAGAGCAACAGAATGTTACTTTTATTCTTTTATTTTCCTTTTCTTTTTCCTTTCCCCCTCTCTTTTCCTCCCCTCCCTCCTCTCCGTAGGTCATGGGGCTTGAACTCAGGGCCTGCGCTCTGTTCCTGACTTCTTTTGCTCAAGGCTACACTCTACTATTTTGAGCCACAGCACCACTTCTGGTTTTCTGGTGGTTAATTGGAATTTTCCTGCTGGGCTGACTTTGGACCATGATCCTCAGATCTCAGCCTCCTGAGTAGTTAGGATTACAGGAGTGAGCTATTGTTGCCCAGCCATAAAAGCTTCTTTACATAACTTATTGTAAATATTTACTCTACAAACAAGAACTTACTAGCTTTCAAAGATTAATATAAATTTTAGAAATTAGTTTTAGAGACTATAAAATAATATAAATTTAAAATAATTTTACATGGAAGGGCACCATTGCATTGAAGATTGATAGTTCAGATTAGTTAATTACATCTTACATAGTAAAGAAGTTTAGTTTGAACTAAAACTTGTGGCTTGTGCTAGTTGTTCCAGCTATTCAGAAAGCTGAGGACAACTTGAGCCCACTAAACTGCAGTTTAGTGGGACCTTATCTCAAAAAAGAGATGTATTTTGGCTTTTGTGGTGATTAACATATATTCTGTGAAGAAGGCTGACATGATACTTATGTATATACACACATACATATGTTAATGTTCATCAAATTAATCCCCTCAAGTGATGTAAGCTTAGTGAATAAGCTTAGTCTTTTGACTTATTCTTTAGGGCCTGTATTCTAATTTGTTAATCACATTGGTTGTTGTTCACTAAGTTCTTGACAATACTTTAAAAAAAGTGAATATGATTGCACACTGAGTGGTAGAGCTTCTGAGTATAAAGCTTAATGGTATAGTACCTGCCTAGTAAGCTTGAAGCCCTAGTTCACATTCCAGTACTGCCACACAATCTACTTTTCTCCACATTTTTTGTTAGTATCAATTTGTTGTACAAGGAGTTTCATTTTGATAGGTCCATAAATGCACACAGTGTATGTTGATCAGTTTGATCATACACCATCATCATACCTGTCTTTATTTTCACTCCTAACTGTATTGTTCTTACCTGGAAAAATATAAGGAATTACCCATGAGGCTATTATAAAATAAAAAGTTGTCAGGATCCTCTTTTAGATCTTGTGAATTGTGGTTTCTCAAACTTTTCAGATTAGTATATCCAGAAATGCTTTTTTTGGGGGGTGGGGGTTCGGTCATAGGGCTTCAACTCTGGGCTTGGGTGCTATCCCTGCGCTCTTCAGCTCAAGGCGAGCGCTCTACTGCTTGAGCCACAGCACCACTTCCAGTTTTCTAGTGGTTAATTGGAGATAAGGGTCTCACGGACTTTTCTGCCCAGGCTGGCTTTGAACAGTGATCCTCAGCTCTCAGCCTTCTGTATAGCTGGGATTACAGGCGTGAGCCACCGGCACCTGGCATCTAGAAATGCTTTTTTAAAAAACTTGAGGGCTGGGATTGTGGCTAAGTGGTAGAGTGTTTGCCTAGCATACATGAAGTTCTGGGTTTGATTCCTCAGTGCCACATAAATAGAAAAAGCCAGAAGTGGCACTGTGACTCAGTGGTAGAATACTAGCCTTAAGCAAAAGCAACTCAGGGACATTGCCCAGGCCCTGAGTTCAAGCCCCAGGACTGGCAAAAAAAACCCCAACAAACAAAAAAACCCCAAGAAAAACAACAAAAATTCTTTTTGATGTAGCAAATAAAATTTCTCCTAATGCTAAGACAAATGCATGAAAGTTATTTCTCATGTTTTAGGGTGAAAATCCTTTTGAAATTCAAGATCAGTCTCAGGATCAGCAAATAGAAGGTGATGAAGAGGATGAAGAAAAGATTGATGAACCTATTGAAGAAGAGGAAGATGAGGAGGAAGCTGGGGAAGCAGAAGGTGTGGAAGAAGCGGAGGAAGCAGGAGAAGCTGAAGGAGCAGAAGGAGAGGGGGATGCAGAGGGAAGGGAGGAGGGTGGGGCTGAGGGGGGAGAGGGTCCAGAGGGGGAAGTAGAAGGAGCAGGGGAAGCAGAACTGGACGAAGCAGCAGCAAAGGAGCCTGTTGATTTTCCGGTTGAGCAACCAGAAGAAAATTAAATATAAGGAATTAGATTTAAACAGAGCTTTAAATTTCTGTCCTAATGTGGAAAGGGTAAGAATTTTAATAGCTTCAAGTATGAATTAACACTCAAGTTGCATGCATTCCACATATTAAAATTTGTTTTATATTCTTTCTAAATGTTTGGCACTTGTCTAATAAAATGAAGGTTAGATTATTTAGTTTAGTTTTTATAGCTACCAAACTTAGATCCCGTAAATTGTTTGTATAATTTTTATGCTTAATTTTTATTACCTTATAGGTGTTATGGATAATAGATAGGTATTGTTAGTATATCTGTTCTAATCATTTGAATTTAAATGCTGCTCTTGGGAGTTTTTAAGTATATACTACATTTAAAAAAGAATACTTACCCTAGAAGAGATTAAATTGGGCAAGTATTTTGTGCTCTGTGTATTTTTTTTTTACTGCATTGGATGGTGCGTAGTACTTTGCATTAAGATAGCTTACAGGCATTTTGTGTACCCAGTTCCCTTTGTAGCAATAAAATGTTTATTTTATTTTATTTTTTTTAAACTATTCTGGGATTAGCAGTTTAAATGAAACAGTTAATCAATTAAATGAGTATATAAAATCAATATTTGCCTTAATGTATGAGTTTAGCTCACAAGTACTTCAAGCTGATTGAGAAGACTTGAATTAATTTTTTTCCCTGAATCATATTTTTAAGAAGTGTGACTAAAATATATTTTAAACACATACCAAAGGCCAGTCTGTAACTGACCTTGTTTATACTTGTTTCATTTGTTCCTTTTCTCTGTGCCTGTGTCAAATCTTGAAATCTTCCTGAAAATACATTTGAATACAAATAAGTTCCCAACCGTGTTAATTCATTTGTTGAGTATTTTGCCTGAAAAACAAAGGAGAAAGTGAAATATTTCTCTTTCAAAATTTTTTTTGAAATTTTTTTTGGGGAGGTAGCTTATTATATTCAGCGAGAACCTGAGACTGGCACTGATCTATCTGTTCTAAGCCACTTATCTTCAAATGACCACCCATCTATGTCAGTGACAAGCAGCGCTTGAGATTCTTGTCTTTTATAAGAATTCAGATGGTTTATCTTCTCAACATTTTGGGACATTAAATAGATGGATGAGGTAATAAAACAGTAAGTGGGATGTGTATAAATGTATGTTCCACAGATAATTTCTTTTTATATAAAACAAAGCTTTTAAATTTAGATTCCCTAGTACCTAAGCAGGGAATGAGAGAGACTCAAAATGATGCTTTCTATGTAGCAACTTCTAATCCATAGATACTGGTTCTGGGTGAGTAAGATGGGTACTGTTTACCATTGTAAAACATGGAAATGTCCCCTCTAGACACAAGGACAGTTAGGTGACTTTAGGACTTCTCTTCCCTAGCCATACCTTCCTTGAGAGCTTTTTTTTTTTTTTTTTTTTTTGGTGGACATCTCAAAAGGAGAAGACAGATTGAGATAGTCCCTTGATATTTCCTATTTCTGTAACTTAACATGGAAAAGGTGTGGGAGGTTGTCTGGTTTTAGACTTAAAAAATAATAATTTTATTATCTTTAAGCAGTTGTACAAAGTGTTTCAATTCAACATGTCAGTTTATGAGTACAATATTTCTTAATCAGTGTCATCCCTTTTACCATTCTCCATTTAGTTTTTGGAATTTTTTTAGTTTTCCTTGTTTTAATTCTGAGTCTGGCCTTTTTAGTATTTATTAATTTTATTTAATTGCCCTGTTTCTTTATCTATCTGACCAACTAATTTTTTCTGCGAAGGACTTTGGTCTTTTGTATTCTGTGGATGTTTGACAATCCATCTTTGGTAGCTGCTTCTGAGCTGAAAGTGCATTGCTGACCCTACCTAGAAAGGGAACCAAAAATCTGTTTCCTTAAGAAATAACAGGAAATTCAGTTGACTAGATGATGTACTATGAACAAGACCAGAAAACCTCATTACTATTTTACTTAAAAGAGAAATCAAATTAGTGAAATCCATCCTTTAAAATAAACTCCCCCCTACCCTTTCCCTGGTCTGGGGCTTGAACTCCAGGAATGGGTGCCCCTGAGCTCTTTTGCTCAAAGCTAGTGCTCTACCACTTTGAACCACCACAGCACCACTTCGGTTTTCTGGTGGTTACTTGGAGATGAGTCTCACAGACTTTCCTGCCTGGGCTGGATTCAAACTGTGATCCTCTGAGTAGCTAGGATTACAGGCATAAGCTACCCAGCACCTGGCTAAGTGTTTCTTATGTAATGATTAAATGAATAGAATATTTTCTTGTGTGTGCTGGCACTGGGGCTGGATCATAGGACCTGGGTGCTATCAGCTGGTGCCCTACCACTTGAGCCATAGCTCCACTTTCTGCTTTTTCAGTAGGTAATTGGAGATTAAGTCTCATGGACTTTACCTGCCACAGTTGGCTTTGAATTGTGATTCCCAGATCTCAGCCTCCTAAGTAGCTAGGATTATAGGTGTAAGCCATTAGCTTGTTTTCTGTGTTTTTATTAAATATAATAGGAGTAGGACAGGGTAAGATGGTCTTGGTGGTATTAGATGGTCTCTCTGATGACATGGCTAGGAAACAGCATGGCCTGTGGATGGGAACTATGCTACTTAGTAATTAAAGTATGTGTGTATTAAAACATAAGTTTGTGAAGTGCTCCTTAATGATACTAATGAATTTCATTGGAATTTGTAGTGATTATTGCCTTTGCCATCTCTGATTATATTAGTTTGGTTCTTTCTCTTTTTTTTTTGTGGTTAATTTGGCTAAGGATTTGTTACGCTTGTCTTAGCTTTTCACAGAACTAATTCTTCATTTCAATGGTTCTTTGTATTTTTAGTCTTAGTATTTTAGTTCTTTTATTTTTAGCCATCTTTATTACTCTTTTATAGGTGGTTACTGTCAGATACTTATCATTGAAAATCTATTACATTAAATACTATGAATACTTTGTGATAGAGTATAACCTAAGGGTTACAACATAAACAATGTAACTATCCATTAGAAAACCTGCTGCTGTAACTTACGGGGTAAAAAAGAAAGGAAATGCACAATGTGATTTTAATACATGAAAAACATTTCCTAGAAAGTAACTTTGATTTTATTTTTTTCAGGCTAGGAATAGAAGAAAACTTAAAAACAAAACAAGTTAATGTTAATGTCTAGAGAACGTCAGTGAACACTCACACTTAAGTCAGGGTCAATATGACTAGGCCTTTTGCCTAAGGAATATCATTTAACCCTAAAAAGGGTTAAGGGGAAATGTAACAGTCCTAACTTCAGGGGAAAAGATTTTGGATACAATATCCAAGAGAATCAGTTGAAAAGTTACTAGAAATAATAGTAGGTAGTTTTGTGTAATTTTTCCTAATGAAGATCTATCGCTCTCTATAGTCCAGTATTGGCCAATATTGAAAATATAAAAATCCCATTTGCAAAAAGAAATCTGCACTATATACAGTGTGGGAATAAACTGGGAAAAATCCAAGATTTGTATGAGAGAAAAATATACATTTTAATGAAGAATATAATACCTCAATAAAGAAACATTCTGTATTCCTGTCTGTAAAGAAAATACTGTCTACATGTCAAGTTATCGTCAGATAATAAATGATAACTTCAGTTATTTTGGATTAATATTGATGATAACTTAAGGAATCTTAAAGCGTGTTTCCTAAAGTTGGAGTGGACAGTGTGTGGAAGTCTGATGTGTTCCTTGTGTCTTGCTCTGCCATCTTCAAAACCTTCTCTTCAAGAACCCTGTCTGTATTCTATCTGGTAAGGGGGAAAAAAGACCAGTACACACCTTCATATCAAGTACTATTTCTAGGGGGCTGGGAATGTGGCTTAGTGGTAGTGTTTGCCTACCAGTCATGAAGCCCTGGGTTCAGTTCCTCAGTACCAGATAAATAGAGCCAGAAATGGCAATGTGGCTCAAGTGGTAGAGTGCTAGCCTTGAGCAAAAGAAGCTCAGGGACAGTGCCCAGGCCCTGAGTTCAAGTCCCAGGACTGGCGTAAGAAAAAAACAAAAACAACTTGTTCCCAGAAATGGATGTTTTTCTGCGTTCATCCCGTTTCTCAGCCTTATGAACACACATCTAGATCCCAGGAAGCCCAGGAATCCTGTGTTCTTTGGTCTTGTTCCCAGCTAGCAGAGCAAGGGTTCTGCTGTGGGAAAAGGAGAGATTGTGTATTATGTAGTAGTAGCAGTATTACGCCTCTTAAACTGCAGAATTCATGCACAAAAGTAAATAGCCAAGAAAAAAGATAACAGGACAATTTGGCTTATTTCTTACAAGAAATACAATAAAACTACAGTAATAAGTTGTAAAGATAAAGAGTATGAGACATAGACCAATGAAACATACAGATTCATGTATTGTGGATACACATGTTACGTAATTTTACACTGATTTGAAGAGACTATAGTCACATTAGATAAAGATGTTTATATCTAACGGCACAAAAAAGTTTTAAGTGGACTAAAGGAAATTTCTACAAGAACCAAAATACTATTTACTACAAAGTCAAAAGACAGGAAAATCACTTATAAGTTTTGAGTTGTCTTTATAAACAATATACAAACTGTAAATTTTATTTATTAAAAAAAAATTGTCAGTCGTGGGGCTTGAACTCTGGGCCTGGGTGCTGTCCCTCAGCTCTTCAGCTCAAGGCTTGAGGCACAACACCACTTCTGTTTATGTGTTGTTGAGGAATCAAACCCAGGGCCTCAGGCATGCAAGGCAAGCACTCTACCACTGAGCAACCTTCCCAGCCCCCAAATAAAAATTCTTAAGAGGTTAAAACTTTAGTACCTTAAGAAAAAAAAGAAAAGACTACATTTTAAGAAGGCCATTGTGAAGACACTATTTTGAGAATGTATTTTGAGGAGTTGTTTTAAAAAGTTAACATTAAATCAAATTGTACATTAATTGGAATTGCATATTGTCTTATGGACCTACTAAAGAATGTGCCACGAACTTTGAGTGATAGTTGAAATATTCTTGTCTAAGAGAAAAACATTGTCTTAAAACACTTAACAGTTGATCTTTTTGGATCTTTTCTTTTTCTTTTTTTTTTTTTTTTGTTGGTTGTGGGGTCTGAACTCTGGGCCTGGGCTCTGTCCTTGTGCTCTTCAGCTGAAGGCTAGCACTCTTGAGTCACAGTGCCACACTTCTGGTTTTCTGAGTGGTTTGTTGGAGATAAGAGTCTCACTGCTTTTCCTGCTCACGCTGACTTTGAACCGTGAGCCTCAGATCTCAGCCTTCTGAGTAGCTGGGATGACTGGTGTGCGCCAGCGCCGGTGCCGGCTGGATCTTTCTTTTCATTGAAGAGATCTTTCTTCCCCTATTCACTAAGAAGTGTTGACTTCTTGGTTCCCTTCTAAAGCGTTTCAATTTGAATGCTTTTTGTACATTTAGCCAAACCTTTTTAGTGAAACAAAAAGTGTGGTGGAGGTGGTGGGAGAAACAAGGTAGGCATGGTGGTGCATACTTGGAATCCCACCACTCTGGAGGGGGAGGTAGGTATGTTCAAGGCCAGCCAGGCTACATTCCACATCCTGTCTTGTGTGTGTGTGTGTGTGTGTGTGGTGTGTGTGTGTGTGTGTGTGTGTGTGTGTGTGTGAGAGAGAGAGAGACAGACAGACAGACAGACAGACAGAGACCGGCAGTCAAGCAGACAGACAGAGACAGAGAGAAAGGGGATTTTTTTTTTTTTGCTAGTCCTGGGGCTTGAGCTCAGGGCCTAGGTACTGTCTCTGAGCTTCCTTTGCTCAAGGCTAGCACTCTACCACTTGAGCCACAGTGCCACTTTTCTGTTTATAGCACTTTTTCTG